TGTTTTAGCTTTGTTTAGCTTACTTTTGTTTTTCTCTGTCACTCAGGCTTGCTTAAACCAATGATCCTCTTGTCTCAGTCTGAGAAGTACTGGGACTATAGGCAAGAATCTTCATATTCAGCCTGCCTTAGACAGGCTAAAAAATTGTAAGTTTATATCTACTTACTTGTTTTGCCAGCACTAATATTTGAACTTCAGGTCTTATGCTTACTCACCTTGCTTGCCCATCTTTCTTGGGCTTTACAACATCAGCCATTCCTCCAGCCCTGCTTTTGGCTGGTTATTTTAGAGATGGAGTCTAACGAACTACTTGTCCAGACTGATTTTTTTTTTCCTTAACTAAAGCCAAGCACTGGTGGTCCAGGCCTGTAACGCTAGCTACTCAGGAGGCTGAGATCTGAGGATGGTTTTTCTTTTTTCTTTTCTTTTCGTTTTTTTTTTTTTTTTGGCAGTTGTGGGACCTGAACTCTGGGCCCAGGCACAGTCCTTCAGCTCTTCAGCTCAAGGCTAGCGCTCTACCACTTGAGCTACAGCACCACTTTCGTCTTTTTCTGCTTATGTGATGCTGAGGGATCAAACCCAGAGCCTCGTACATGCAAGGAAAGCACTCTACCACTAAGCCACCTTCCTGGCCTACCAGACTGATTTCAATTCAAGATTCCCAAAATGTTTGCCTCTTGAGTAGTTAGGATTAGAGGCATGAGCCACCAGCACCCAGTTTGTCTTTTATAAAGACCATTTAATGTTTATAAGTAAACATTACTACTTTTAATTTTGCTGTTACTGTTTTAGTAAGGGACTCTGGTGTTCTACCACTTGAGTCATACCTCCAGTTCCTGGCTTTTGCTGGTTAATTAGAGAGAAGAATATCTTATAATTATCTGCCTAGCTGGTTTTGAACCATGATCCTCAGTTCTCAGCTTCCTTTGTAGCTAGAATTACAGGTGAGAGCCATCAGTGCTTTTTGAAATCCAATTTGACACCTTTGTTTTTTATTTGGAGAATTTAACTTACACTTAGAATGATCACTGTTATATTTAGATTTATAGTCTACTACTTTATCATCTATTTTCAGTTGTCCTTTACTCTTTTGAAATTTGGTTTCTCTTTTGAAATTTCTTTCTTTTTTTCATGTAAGTATTCATTTTTCTTTTTCTGTTTCTCAGATTTGGATGCTATGTGCTTTATACTTTCTGCATTTTCTCTTCCTATGTTTTGTCCAGCAATGCTCTTTATAATCCAGTTAATACCCTTCCTGCAAGAATTAAGAGAGCCCAGAACATTTTAACTCTAATCCTATATCCAATTCTTAATTATTTTACTTCTGCTCTGTTTATTTATTTTTTGGGGGGGGTCCGGTCATGGGGCCTGAACTCTGGGCCTGGGCACTGTCCCTCAGCTCTTCAGCTCAAGGCTAGCTAGTGCTCCACCACTTGAGCCACAGTGCCACTTCCAGCTTTTTTCTTTTTGCTTATGTGGTGCTGAGGAATCGAACCCAGGGCCTCATGCATGCAAGGTAAATGCTCTACCACTGAGCCACCTTCCCAGCCCTGCTCTGTTTATTTTTAAAATATATTTCAATACAGCCAGTGTTTTCTTGGTTTTTCCCATTTATTAACAAGGACCATTAATGTTTATTTACATTTGTCTGAAAATGTTCTTATTTAAATTTATTTCTGAATATTTTTATCTATATAGAACTCCAAATGGAGTTATTTTCTTTCAGTGCATAAATTATATTATCCAATTACATTGGATTGTTGCTGCTGAAAGTCTCAATACCACATTTTGTAGATATTGTATCATTTCTCTCTGGATGCGTATAAGATCTTCTCGTTGTCTTTGATGTTTTGCAATTGTTCTGCAGAGGTTACAATTGATATTTATCCTATTTGAATTATGTTGGGTTTATGAGGATTTGTATTCAGTAGGTCAGTAGATATATAGTTCAGTAATTGTGCACTTGAAAATATGTACTATTGCCGGGCACCGGTGGCTCACGCCTGTAATCCTAGCAACTCAGGAGGCTGAAATCTGAGGATCACAGTTCAAAGTAAGCCCAGGCAGGAAAGTCTGTGAGACTCTTATCTCCAATAAACCACTAGAAAACCAGAAGTGGCACTGTGGCTCAAGAGGTAGAACACTCACCTTGAGCTGAAGAGTGCAGGGACAGCACCCAAGCCCAGAGTTCAAGCCCCATGACCGACAAAAAAAAGAAAATATGTACTATGTCTCATTCTTCCCATAACTACTGTCTGTATCTTTGATTGCAGATATGTTTTTAACTCCCAACTCTACATATCTCTTAACTTCTGTATTTCATGTTTCTTATCAGTTGGTCATTACTGTTACTGTTTTGGGTATCTCTTCTAGTTCACTAAAAAGATCTGATCTATTTCACTGTGTTCATCTTTCCCTTGTTCATCTTGCTGCCAAGTCTCCTTCATTTCCTTCTTTCATTTTCCCTTTTTCATCTTTCCATATAGCTTCTGATTTGGGTTATTACATTTTTCAGTACTAGAAATTCGATTTGATTATGTCATGTGAAAAATGTTGTCATGTTTTATAGTTGCTTCTTTTTTATATTTCAAAGCTTTCCTTTTATTCCTTAAAATGCAGTGAACATATCTCTTTTAAGTGTGCGTTTATTTCAAAAACTAGTAGTCTAATTTTGTCTTCAGCCTTTTTCATGTTGCTTTGCTTCCTTGTATGTTCCATGATTTCTGACTGAGCTTTTTGTTTTTTCTTTCTGACTTCATCTTTTGGAAATTTTTAGATGTGGGTTGCAGTTGTTTTACTTCAGACTAAGAAGGAAAGCAACTCAGATTCTAATTAACCCAGAACCATTTTCAATTAAATCTTCTACTTGAACCTTAATTTGGATTATATAGGTAGCATGAATTCTGACCTCAAACTTACAAAAAGGCTAGACACTGGTTATTAATTCTCAGAGAATATTTTCCCTTTTTACTCAATAATATAGGATTTTTTATCCTTTCTGTACCTTCCTGCATTTTTCCTACTCACTTTTTATGACTATAATTGAGCCTTTTGGTGTCCTAAACTTATAAAGAAGATTCTATCAGATACCCCAAGGATATGATATTGAAACCTTCCCATGCCCTTTACCATTAAGACAAAACTCAATGTCATTAAGGTTCACCAGAAACCCCAGGGCACAAGCCAATTCTGGTGCTAATTTCATGTCCTATTTTCTTACTCTCCTTTTTATTTGGCCTTTACAAGTGCCTTCCTTCTATGACATCTTTACAAAAATTAAAAATAAGCATACAATACCATTTTGTTCTAATTAGTATTATTTAGTTTGCCCCCGGACAAATCTTACAATGACTTTTTGATTGACACATAAGCTTTGGAGGACAGCATAACTACATTCAAGAAAGGGAAGACAAATGGTAGAGAAGATTAACATCCATAACAATACCTCTGTGATACAAACAAGTCAATTTCATTCTCATTCTAAAAATAGATTCAGACCTTCATTCGTGGACTTGTACAATTTCTCCTAAACCCAGTATTTTATTTCTTACTTGCTGTATAGATTCAATTGATCAAGATACCTACTCTTTTTCTAAACCTAGGAGTATGAATTGTGATGATAGCTCCATTTTGAAAGGCAATTTTCAATATTTACAAGTTACTGGTAAACTTCTTTTGCTTGTTTTTGGCTTCACATCTTTGTTCAAGTTCATTGTCCATACATTTACTGGTCACCTACTGTATGTTTGACATTTGACACTGCCCTTGGTGCTTAACAAAACCACAGACCCTTAGCGGTATTCCTAGAAGAACCCTTTAGAGATGGAGGCCTATTTCAACTGTAGCAAGACAACTTCATCTTGACTTCATTCATACTGTGACTAATCAGTGCAATACTAACGATTTAGTGTGGTCCAGCATCTGGACCTGATGGGCAGGCAGCATCAGTAACAACAAGGACCTGAATGAGAACATTTGAGGATGAAGACCAATAATTAGTAATCTCGTCTTTAACAAGTTTTCCAGGCAATCATTAAACTCACTAAATTTCAGAGTTACTATGCTATTATTTGATAATACACTAGGTTCTTAAAAAACACTCAAAGAAGCACTACAGCCTACTGCCAGCTCGTTTACTTTCATAATCTAGAATGGCTGCCTGTAAAAAGATCAGGGATGCCATTAGGTACAAGACATAGTGTTCTCTATTGTAACATATAATCTTTCCTGAATTTTTGTTATTCTTTTTTAAATAAACTATGTTTAACAGCAGAGCTGGCAAGCCTTCCTTGTTTTCTCATCTTGCCATTTGGGCAAACATAGTTGAATTCCATGAAAGAATTCAAGTTCCAACCAATCTGCTCACCTTGTAATTGCACAGGGAAGCAGGATAGACCACCACCTGGTCTACCCACATTGAAGTCATCTTAGAACACCTCAGGGGAAGAAGATAGGGGGAGAAATTAAGTTTATACTTGGAATTAGCCTGTAAACTGTAAAAATAAAGGGCAGGGGAATGAATCAAACTCAGAGGCACAATTGAGCCGGAAATATCTCAATATGTTTAGAAATGGCCATCCATGACAGGACCTTGCTTCCTCAAGCCTAGATCCAAACCTCACTGCACCGGGTGCCAGTGGCTCACACCTGAAATCCTAGCTACTCAGGAGGCTGAGATCTGAAGATCGAGGTTCAAAGCCAGCCTGGGCAGGAAAGTCCACGAGACTCTTATCTCCAATTAACCACCAGAAAACCAGAAGTGGCACTGAGCTAAGAGCTCAGGTACAGTGCTCAGGCCCAGAGTTCAAGCCCCACAACAGCAACAACAACAACAACAAAAACCTCACTAGATGAAAAACACAATAAAGTGGTATAAAGGAGAGGTTACTGTAGAAAAGAAATAATATATCTAAAATTTAGTTTTAATTCTTCTCTACTAGAACTGAAAAAAGGGAAATCTACACATACTTTAGAGGAAAAAAATACATTCAAAATGCACTTGTCCTAATAGTTTAATCGTTTTTTTCCTAATTGCCATATGTGCCACGTCTTCGTAACACATGGATGTGTGCTTGACGTGCTGAAATCACAGAGTACCTTCCCCAAGCCATCTCAGGAAGAATCTGCTCCAACAGACGAGGTGGCAAAGACGTTAGTGGATGGCTGCTTGTGCTGGAATTTATTTTCACAACTAAAATAGGAACAGGGAAAGTTCGGCTTAGTGAGCCAGTATGTAACTTAAATGATTAAAACAAAATTAAGAGTCAACACTGTATTATAGACTCTTAGGAAATCAACTCACTGTATATGTTTCAGGGTGAGAAGTCTAAAACTCTTTCTGGACACATTTAAAGGGAAGAAGGTTTCAGCCTGCGAACAAGTTGGAAGCCAGATGAATTCCCCCTGACATTTCCTAGAGGAAACTGAGCATGATTTTGCTCAGTTGTCGTGACACTCAAATAGCATCCTCATACTCGTGGCAAAATAAAAAAGTGTCGCCATTTTCCAACACTGACACAGAACGGAACACAGAACACATGTATTTTGCCTACCCCAGTATTTACACTTGTACTCTTTAGAAAAAAAAAAAGATAAAAGATTACTCAAGTTCAATAGGGAGAAAAAAGTTCAGTGGCACAAATAATTGTGAATTTAGATCATCTTCAAGAAAAGAAATTGAAGAAGGGAAAGAAAAGTAGGAGTAGTCTCACATTCCTCGGGGAGGGTAAAATAATGGGTCCCCCAAGATGTTCCACATCTTATTCCCCAGGATCTGTGAATATGTTATGTTGACATATGGTGCATGGCATATGACAAAGGGGAATTAAGGTTGCAGATGGAATTAAGGTTGTTAATCAGTTGATTTTAAATTAGCGTAATTAGCTTGAATTACCCAGGTGGGTCCAATATAACCATAAAGGTCCTTAAAAGTAGAAAAGAAAGATATAAGTAGAGAAGAAACAATGAGATATAGAGCAGCATAAGAAAGCCTAGATCCAAACACTACAGGCTTTGAAAATGGAAGAAAGGTTCATGAGCCAAGAAAAGTAGTGTCCACTGGAAAAAACAAAAACAAGTTCTTTACTGAATCCTCAGAAAGGAATACATCCTGCCCACAACTTGCTCTTAGCTCAAAGAGATTTGTGTGGGAATTCTCATCATCAGCACCACTAGTTAGTAAAGCTGTTTTGTGTGAAGCTTCTAAGTGTGTTGTAATTCATACCAGTGCCAATAGGAAACTAATTCATTTCCTTTCCAGCAAAACCTTTCCGTATCTCCAAAAGCAATGATTCTAACTTCTAACATAGTAGATTAGTTTCCCTTGTGCTTTGGGCTTTCACTAAATGAAATATGAATTCATTTGTATCTGGATTCCTTTGTACTTTGGTTTTCTGCACCTGTAGAGCGTATATTTATATGTTCACCCACTCTGCTATGGAAAGACAAATTTGAGGCACGACAAGTAATGCTGTGTATATCTGCGCATACCTTTTGTTGCATTGTGATTACATATCTACTGGCAAATACCTAGGAGTATAATGGCTGAATGGTAAAGTAAGCACACCTTCAATGAGTCATGCCTAAGTGTTTTCCAAAACACTCTCATAAGCAGGTATATCAACTATAGTTAGCATTATTATCTCATTTTGGTTACTGCTGTTGTTGTTGTCATAGCATTCCTGTTCTGTTATGTGTGTAGTAATAGCTTATTGAATTTTAAATTACCATCCTGGTACTTCCTAATGAGGTGGCCTATCTTGGTGTATGTTCACAGGTATCTACAGATACCCTCTAGTGAGGGGCCTACAAATGGTTCACTTTTATTCTATTATCATTCATTTCAACTGTTATCATTCATTTCAACTTCATGTATAGGAGTTCTTAATGTAGTCTGGATGTGAGCCTTTTGTGAGCTATGCGTATTGAAAGTAACTTCTTCTACAATGTGGCTGATGTTTTTACTCTACAGTATCTTTGAATAAACACAATTTCTTAATGTTAATATAGCCTAACCAACAAATCTTTTCTTAAGTCATTACTGCTTTCCAGAAATCTTTCCTCACTCCTAGGTCATGAAGTTATAATCTACTAGAATTGTTGTAATTCTGGCTTCCAAATTTAGATATCTAGTCCACCAAACCTTGATTTTTATGCATGGTCTGAAGTATAAATCAAATTTCATTAGGGGATATGCAAGTGACATGACACTACCATTGAGGAAAGGACTTATTTCCCTTCAGTTCCAAAGTTCTATTTCTTCACAAATCAAATGTCCATATATGCCTCAGAACTTTCTAGTCTGCTTGTCAGACTAACATGCCAATACCATGCTGTTTTAACAGCTATAACTTGATAATATAGCTTTCTATATGAGCATATACCTCTGACCTGTTACTGCTTCAGGATAATCATGAATATTCAGAGCCCTTTGTACTTCCATATAAATATTAGAATAAGCTCCTCCATATTCATAAGATAAATCTTCTGAGACTTTTTGAAAAGAGTACATGGACTCTAGTAAAATACAGGGAGAACTAACATCTTAAACTTTCTCCATAAGAACTTGTCAACATTTTAAAGTATTTTGTATGGAGGTAAAGCAAGTATTTCTCTAGCTCGATTAAAAGATGTTTACCCATTTTGATGCTATTGTAATTTTTTCTCATTTTGAAAATCTTTTTAGGCAAATTAAAATGCATATTTGTGTATCAATCTTATCACCCTTGATAAACTCAGTTTTAATTAAAAATAATATGAAGACAAATATTTTAAGATTTTTCCATTTCTTCATATGTGGAAGCTAGGTTTATCTTATAAACCTACACATAAATATGTTGGGTAGTTTGGAGGTCTATGCAAATGTATTAACTGAAATATGGTAGACTCAAAGGAAAACGCAAATAGTGTAATTCCGTAGAAAGGCGAAGTCACATTCTACAAAATAAACACCAGGAAATGGGTATTTGAAAGGAGTAACAAATAAAGAGAAGGGAAGAATGCAGTGAAGAATTCAATGTAGAGCTCACAAAATTAAGAAGAGTGAAGGAAGGAGTGGGTTGGGAGGGATGGATGAGAATGTTGAAAGAGACAACATTGATCAAGACACATTGTATGCATAAACTGCCTTGTGAAATGACAACTCCTTTGTAGAACTACCTAAAGACATTAAACATATAATTTTGAAAATAAATTTAAAAAAGATTTACAATGCAACCACATTACTTATAAATAATAAGGGTATTTATTACATTTCCTTATGATCTTGCAATTATGACTTTTATTTCTGAATCTTGTTTACTGTGCTAGTGAGCTCTCTAGCCAATGCCAAATGGAAAAAATGTTATCCAGCCTTTTCGTTACATTCCCACTTTGAAAATGCATTGAAGATTACACATTATACATGAATGCACCAAAAAAGTATGTTTTTCATAGCTATTCTATGTCATGTTAAGAAAATACTTGTGCATTTATTTTTCTAGGAGTTTAATCTGAATACAATGGGTATGGAATTCTATCAAAAATATTTTCTTCAGAGAATTTCTCTTTAAGTCTTTAGTCACTTATTAATGAGGTGGGTTTTTTTTTTAGGATTTGTTGTTGGGGGATTTAATTTTTTGAGTTCTAAGTATATTTTAGATATGAGGCCCTTGTCTGTTGTATGGCTAGTCAAGATCTCCCAGTCCGTGGTCTTTCTATTGATCTTGCTAGCTATGTTCTTTGTCATGCAGAAGCTCTGCAGCTTCATGCAATCCCATGTGTCCAACTTTCTTTGATGTGTTGTGTTGTGTTGTGTTTCTGGGTCTTTATTAAGAAATTTTCGGCCTGTGCCAAGGAGCCCTAGAGTTTCTCCTATTCTTTCCTGTAATGTTTGTTTTCAGGGTGTCCAATAGGCACATGAAGAAATGCTCAACTTCTCTAGACATAAAAGAAATGAAAATCAAAACAACACTGAGATACCACCTCAACCCAGTTAGAATGGCTATAACCAAGAACTTTAATAACAACAGATGCTGGAGGGGATGTGGCCAAAAGGGAACCTTACTGCATTGTTGGCAGAGTGTAAACTTGTTCAACCACTTTGGAAAGCAGTATGGAGGTTCCTCAAAAGACTCCACATAGAGCTCTCTTACCACTCAGCAAGCCCACTTTTGGGCATTTACACAAAAACAAGGCATACTAAAGCTACCAGCACAACTATGTTTATCACAGCATTAGTTACCATAGCTAAGATATGGTACCAACTCAGACGTCCCTCAGTAGATGAATGGATCAAAAAAATGTGATATATATATGTATAATAGAATTCTATGCCTCTATCAGAAAGAATGAGACCACCCCATTTATTAGGACATGGAAAGACTTGGAAAAATTATATTAAGTGAAGTAAGCCAGGCCCAAAGGAACATAGGTCCCATGGTTTCCCTTATTTGAAATAATATCTAGGATAATCTTATGAGGATAATCTCATATGCCTAGGATAATCTTACCAGACAAGCAGAAAAGGTCAAACCTATGTACATATGACTATATAAGATGATGCTAAGTGAAATGAACCCCAAGATATGGACACAGGAGGTTTTTTTCCTTTGTTGCTGTTGTTTGTAATGTATTATGTGATTTTTTTGTTTCTTTTGTATGTTCTTCCCCCACAGTATAACCCCTATTGTCACTGCATTTTGTATGTATGTTTTTCTAATTTGGGAAGGGGAAGGAAATAACAAAATGCTGAAACAGAATACAGGTTGACCCATTGTAACAATAAGATGTACAAGATACTATGTTGAAAATGAACTTTACAATTGGGGTGGGGGAGGGAAGAGTTGGGGAAGTGGGGAGGGAAGAGATAGTAGGGGAAAAACAAGGGAGGGGGCAACAATGCTAGATAGGAAATGTACTCATTACCTTACTCATGTAACTGTAACCCCTCTGGACAGTATTTTCACAATAAAATTTTTTTCTGTCTCTATTAAGAATATACTTTTTTTCTAATATCATATTAATATAGCAAATTACATTGATAATGGAAAGTTTATATTTTCATCTTAAAGGAAAATCATTTAACAAAGTACTATATACAAACTCTTACAGTATCACTAAGACAACCCCTGAAGTAATAAAGATGAAGACTTAGATTTGTAGTTAATACATCAATAAAGAAGTTAAAATGGAATTATATAATATCCACATAAT